GTAAGAAAATAGAGTTTCGACGTCACAACGAGAATGCATCGACAATACATTAGAATCTTGAGCATTGGGGAGGATTGTTGTGCAATGTCCACAACCTCGAAAGCTCTCCTTGGACAAAGGCAATGTGGACAATCTCTAAATCTCCTTGCGAAGTCTAGAGATCAATGAAGTGGGTCGTCGAATCGTCTCTGGCAGCTGTCACCTGACGAAGTAGAAAAACGGCAACTTTGTGGCTCTCTAGTGACTATCACTCGATGGAGAGGAGCTAGATGGAGGTGGGGCACGTGTCAGGGAACTTCATCTTCAGGTCTGCGTAGTAAGAGGAGGCTCTTCATCACATCTAGTATGCTCTCAAGAAGTGGCGACTCGTCTCCCAGCAGATCGTCCTCTTCCCAATGACGGCTTGTTCGTCAATCAATCGGAGATGCTTTACTCGATAGATTTGCAATCCTTTTATCGTGAATTGTTCAATAATTTTAGTAACAATACTCTGCAAATCATGTTGACGAGATTTTCACTAATGATCTAGCAATTCTGGTTGCTGAATCCTTCACCGGCGATCTGCAAGAAAGTCGTGATAATCAGATTAAAAAAATATGAGTTTTGGCTCTAGGAAGATTCGAACCCGCGCTGGTCGCCCGCCCCCCTTCTGAGGAAGGTGTGACACGGGTTTAGTCCCACATCGATTGTGCGCCGAATTTTCGGGCGAATATGTAGTAATGTTAGATTTCTAAGCAAAGTCTCTTCTCTCACATGTACGACCACTGACGTGACTCAGTCGTTGTATGTTAAATCACGCAAATATAAAATTTATAAAACTAGAAAATACGAATTTTTGGATATTTAGAAGTATCCGAAATAGAGTTCCGCCCGACGATTCTTACGTAGGTGATTACAGACGACTCAATTAATCAAATTAAGATCTGTAAAAGCCGGAAGAATCGTAATTGAACGAAGTATAGTTTGGTTAATTAAAATCAACAAAGTATCACTAAATGAAGCGTAAATTAAATTGAAAGCAGGAAAATAGAGTTCCGGCGTCAAGATGGCGATGCGTCGGCGATGCACCGGAATCCTGAGCGTTCGGGAGGATCGTCGTGCAGTGTCCACGGCCTCGAAGGCTCTCCTTGGACAAAGACGACGTGGGCAATCTCTAGATAAAGCAGGAAAACAGAGTTCCGGCGTCGCGACGGCGACGCGTCGGCGATGCACCGGAATCCTGAGCGTTCGGGAGGGTCGTCGTGCAGTGTCCACGGCCTCGAAGGCTCTCCTTGGACAAAGACGACGTGGGCAATCTCTAGATCTTCTCGCGAAGTCTAGAGACCAATGAAGTGGGTCGTCGAATCGTCTCCGGCGGCTGTCACCCGGCGGAGCGGAAAAACGGCGACTTTGCGGCTCTCCGGCGGCTGTCACCCGACGGAGAGGGGCTGGATGGAGGTGAGGCGCGTGTTAGGGAGCTTCATCCTCAGGTCCGCGCAGCAAGAGGAGGCTCTTCATTGCATCTGGTACGCTCTCAGGAGGTGGCGACTGGTCTCCCGGCGGATCGTCCTCTTCCCGACGACGGCTTGTTCGTCGATCAATCGGAGATGATTTACTCGATGGATTGCGATCCTTTTATCGCGAATCGTTCAGAAATTTTAGTAGCAATGCTCCGCGAATCGCGTTGACGAGATTTTTGCCGATGATCCAGCGATTCCGGTTGCTTAATCCTTCACCGGCGATCTGCAGGAAAGTCGCGATAATCAGTTAAAAATATATGAATTTTGACTCTGGGAGGATTCGAACCCACGGCGGTCGCCCGCCCATTTAGTCCCACATCGGTTGTGCGCGGATTATTCGGGCGAATATATAGTGAAGTTATCTTTCTAGGCAAAGTCCTCTCGCGTGTACGATCACTCCTTGCCCCACAGCCGGCTGACCACCGGTGACGTAGAAGGGGAGTGGCGCACACGTGCCCCTATCGATTCAAGCAAGCTGCTCGAGCCCTTGCTCGCGGCTACTCCTCGACTGCGCTTCCGACCCGCTTGCGGGCCCGGCTGGCCGGCGGATCCTCCCATTTTGCAATATTTTTATTTTTATTTCTTGTTCTTCATTTATCTCAAAACTAAGACTGTAAAAATCGTATAAAATCACATAATTACCCAAAAATTCACGTTAATCAACTGAAAACCACTTTTCATACTTTAACACAAATATAAGTCTATTTATCATGAGTTAAGGCTAAAACTATATTATTTACTAATTATTAACTCATGATAATGAAGACTTATCAACCACTCCTTACCCCATAGCCGATTGGCCACCGGTGACATGGAAGGGGAGTGGCACACACATGCCCCTATCTATCCAAGCCGCTCGAGCCCTTGCTTGCGACTACTCCCCAACTATGCTTCCGACCCGCTTGCAGGCCCAGCTGGCCGGTAGGTCCCCCTCATTTTGTCTTTTTTTTATTTTTTTATTTCTTTTTCATCATTTATCTCAAAATTAAGATTGTAAAAATTATATAATTTCATATAAAATCACATAATTACCTAAAAATTCACATTAATTAACTAAAAACCACTTTTCACACTTTAATGCAAATATAAGTCTATTTATTATGAGTTAAGGTTAAAACTATATTATTTACTAATTATTAACTCATGATAGTGAAGACTTATCACTTGTAAATGTGATATTACTATATATTCGCCTAAAACTTTGGCACACAAGCGATGTGGGACTAAACCTACATCACACCTTCCCTTGAAAGACTTTGAAGGTTTTAAGACCTAAATTACTCCTTAGTTATAATAGAGATATACTATGATGATGTCACTTGATAAGGGTATTAGAGTATTTATTTCAATCTCTCTCATGTAGGCGGGCAATCAGCACGGGTTTGAATCTTCCTAAAGCCCAATGAAAGATTATCCTGACTTTCTTATAGATCACTAGTGAAGGATTAAGCCACTAAAATTATTAGATTATTGGTAAAAAAAAATTCAACGCAATTTGCAAAGCATTGTTACTAAAATTGCTAAAAAACAATTTGCGATAAAAGGATCATGAATCTATCGAGTAAATCATCTTTGATTGATCGATGAACAAGTTGTCATCGAGAAGAGGACAATCTGTCAAGAGACGAGTTGCCACCTCCTGTGAGCATACTAGATGCGATGAAGTGCCTCCTCTTGTTGCATAGACATGAGGATGAAGCTCCTTAACACACGCCCCACCTCCATCTAACTCTTCTGCGTTGGGTGACAGCCATTAGAAAGTCACAAAGTCATCATTTTTTCATTTCGCTGAGTGACAGCTGCCAGAGATAATTTGACAACCTATTTTATTGATCTTTAGAGTTCACAAGGATATCTAGAGATTGCCCACGTCGTCCTTGTCGAAAGAGAGCCTTTGAGGCTGTAGACACTGCACAACAATCTTTTCGAATGCTCAAACTTCCCGTACATCATCGACACATTATTGCCGTGATGTTGGAACTTTATTTTTCTACTTTCAACTTAATTTCTAATTCATTTAGTGACAATTTGTGTGATTTAAATTTACCAAACTATATTTGATTCAATTACGATTCTTCCACCTTTTACAGATCTTAATTTGATCAATTAGATTGTCTGTAATTGCTTATGCAAAAATCGCTAGACAAAACTCTATTTCTATTTGATTCACGTTCGTCAGGTGCTGGCATCATCCTAACATCCATACCCTTATTTTCTTTTTTCACAAATTTAAGTATATTTTATTTTTATTTCTCATAAAAAAATTATATTCTTTGAGAAAAATATTAAAAAGTTACCCAATATTATATTACATCTCTATGATCGACTTGGAAAATTACCACTATTTTTGTAAATTTGATTTAATTATAATTGATATATTTGTTCAGAAATACTTCTAAATATCTAAAAATTAGTATTTTCTAGTTTTATAATTTTTAAATTTACGTGATTTTTATTTTTTATTTTTTATTTTTTATTTTTTATTTTTTTAAATTTACGTGATTTACAATACAACGACTAAGTCACGTCAAAAGGTTTTTCACCTTCCTATGGAGATCAAACATAAGGCTTATTAAGTTATTAAGAATCTTAATCTTTCTTTAGACGCCATAGGTAAGCACCGTATGTTGCAATTGCAAGAGCTTCAAGAAGTACCCAATGAGATGTACGAGAAGTCTCTAATTTACAAAGTAAAAATGAAGGCTTTTTATAACAAGAAGGAGAGCAGAAAGAGTTTTCATGAGCATCAAAAAGTTTGGCTTTACAATTCTCGATTGAAACTATTCCTCGAGAAATTAAAATCTAGATGGGATGGACCATACCTTGTGATTAAAGTTTTTGACTGTGGTGCAGTATTAATTACAGATCTGAAAATTGGTAAAATTTTTAATGTGAATGGGCAAAGATTAAAACCTTATTTAGAAATGAACCCTCCTTCTTTACCCATTTCCACTCAATTATATGATCCATTGACATGACTCAGTCGTTGTATGTTAAATCACGCAAATATAAAATTTATAAAACTAGAAAATATAAATTTTTGGATATTTAGAAGTATTTCAAAATAAATCTATCAATTATAATTCAATAAAAATTCCAAAAATAGCGGTAATTTTGCAGGTCGATCATAGGGATGTAATATAATATCTGGTAATTATTCAGAATTTTTCTGAATGAATACGATTTTCTTACGAATTTTGTACTATGAAATAAAAAGGAAATATATTTAAAATTCATGAAAAAAAAGGAAATAAGGGTGCGGGCGTCAGGATGACGTCAGCGCCCGGCAAATACGAATCAGGCAGAAACAGAGTTCCGCTCGGCGATTCTTACGTAAGCGATTACAGATGACTTAATTAATCAAATTAAGATCTGTAAAAGTCGGAAGAATCGTAATTTAACGAAGTTTAGTTTGGTAAATTAAAATCACACAAAGTATCACTAAATAAAGCGTAAATTAAATTGAAAGCAGGAAAACAGAGTTCCGGCGTCACGACGGCGATGCGTCGGCGATGCACCAGAATCCTGAGTGTTCGGGAGGATCGTCGTGTAGTGTTGATAAGTCTTCATTATCATGAGTTAATAATTAGTAAATAATATAGTTTTAGCCTTAACTCATGATAAATAGACTTATATTTGTGTTAAAGCATGAAAAGTGGTTTTCAGTTGATTAACGTGAATTTTTGGGTAATTATGTGATTTTATACGATTTTTACAGTCTTAGTTTTGAGATAAACGAAGAACAAGAAATAAAAATAAAAATATTGCAAAATGGGGAGACCCGTCGGCCAGCCGGGCCCGCAAGCGGGTCGGAAGCGCAGTCGGGGAGTAGCCGCGAGCAGGGGCTCGAGCGGCTTGCTTGGATCGATAGGGGCACGTGTGCGCCACTCCCCTTCCACGTCACCGGTGGTCAGCCGGCTGTGGGGCAAGGAGTGGTCGTACACGCGAGAGGATTTTGCCTACAAAGCTAACTTTACTATATATTCGCCCAAATAATCCGCGCACAACCGATGTGGGACTAAACCCGCGTCACACCTTGTTCAGGGGCGGGCGACCGCCGCGGGTTCGAATCCTCCCAGAGTCAAAATTCATATATTTTTAACTGATTATCGCGACTTTCCTGCAGATCGCCGGTGAAGGATTAAGCAACCGGAATCGCTGGATCATCGGCGAAAATCTCGTCAACGCGATTCGCGGAGCATTGCTACTAAAATTTCTGAACGATTCGCGATAAAAGGATCGCAATCCATCGAGTAAATCATCTCCGATTGATCGACGAACAAGCCGTCGTCGGGAAGAGGACGATCCGCCGGGAGACCAGTCGCCACCTCCTGAGAGCGTACCAGATGCGATGAAGAGCCTCCTCTTGCTGCGCGGACCTGAGGATGAAGCTCCCTAACACGCGCCTCACCTCCATCCAGCCCCTCTCCGTCGGGTGACAGCCGCCGGAGAGCCGCAAAGTCGCCGTTTTTCCGCTCCGCCGGGTGACAGCCGCCGGAGACGATTCGACGACCCACTTCATTGGTCTCTAGACTTCGCGAGAAGATCTAGAGATTGCCCACGTCGTCTTTGTCCAAGGAGAGCCTTCGAGGCCGTGGACACTGCACGACGACCCTCCCGAACGCTCAGGATTCCGGTGCATCGCCGACGCGTCGCCGTCGCGACGCCGGAACTCTGTTTTCCTGCTTTATCTAGAGATTGCCCACGTCGTCTTTGTCCAAGGAGAGCCTTTGAGGCCGTGGACACTGCACGACGATCCTCCCGAACGCTCAGGATTCCGGTGCATCGCCGACGCATCGCCGTCGCGACGCCGGAACTCTGTTTTCCTGCTTTCAATTTAATTTACGCTTCATTTAGTGATACTTTGTTGATTTTTATTTACCAAACTATACTTCGTTCAATTACGATTCTTCCGGCTTTTATAGATCTTAATTTGATTAATTGAGTCGTCTGTAATCGCCTACGTAAGAATCGCCGGGCGGAACTCTGTTTCCGCCTGATTCGCGTTCGCCGGGCGCTGACGTCATCCTGACGTCCGCACCCTTATTTCCTTTTTTTTTGTGAATTTTAAATATATTTCCTTTTTATTTCCTAGTATAAAATTCGTAAGAAAATCGTACTCATTGAGAAAAATTCTGAATAATTACCAGATATTATATTACATCCCTGTGATCGACTTGGAAAATTACCACTATTTTTCGGATTTGTATTGAATTAAAATTGATATATTTATTTTGAAATACTTCTAAATATCCGAAAATTCGTATTTTCTAGTTTTATAAATTTTATATTTGCGTGATTTAATATACAACGACTGAGTCACGTCAAGTGTCCACAGCCTCGAAGGCTCTCCTTGGACAAAGACGACGTGGGCAATCTCTAGATCTCCTCACGAAGTCTAGAGATCAATGAAGTGGGTTGTCAAATCGTCTCCGGCGGCTGTCACCCGGTAGAGCGGAAAAACGGCAACTTTGCGGCTCTTTGGCGGCTGTCACCCGACGGAGAGGAGCTGGATGGAGGTGAGGCGCGTGTTAGGGAGCTTCTTCCTCAGGTCCGCGTAGCAAGAGGAGGCTCTTCATCGCATCTGGTACGCTCTCAGGAGGTGGCGACTGGTCTCCCGGCGGATCGTCCTCTTCCCGACGACGGCTTGTTCGTCGATCAATCGGAGATGATTTACTCGATGGATTCGTGATCCTTTTATCGCAAATCGTTCAGCAATTTTAGTAGCAATGCTCCGCGAATCACGTTGACGAGATTTTCGCCGATGATCCAGCGATTCTCGTTGCTTAATTCCTTCACCGGCGATCTGCAGGAAAGTCGCGATAATCAGATAAAAATATATAAATTTTTACTCTGGGAGGATTCAAACCCACGCCAGTCGCCCGCCTCTTCTGAGGAAGGTGTGACGCGGGTTTAGTCCCACAGCGGTTGTACGCCGATTTTTTAAGCGAATATATAGTAATGTTAGCTTTCTGAGCAAAGTCCCTTCTCTCGCGTGTATGACCACTCCTTGCCCCACAGCCGGCTGCCCACCGGTGACGTGGAAGGGGAGTGGCGTACGCGTGCCCTGTCGGTCCCCAAGTCAAGCCGCTCGAGCCCCTACTCGCAGCTTACTCCCCGACTGCGCTTCCGACCCGCTTGCAGGCCCGGCTGGCTGGCGGGTCCCGCCATTTTTGCAATATTTTTATTTTTATTTCTTGTTCTTCATTTATTTCAAAAGTAAGACTGTAAAAATTGTATAAAATCACATAATTACCCAAAACTTCACGTTAATCAATTGAAAACCAAAAATCATTCTTTAACACAAATATAAGTCTATTTATCATGAGTTAAGGCTAAAACTATATTATTTACTAATTATTAACTCATGATAATGAAGACTTATCATCCATCCATTGAACCTCAATCTTCTTAGAACTTCCCCTCCATGATGTACTCTAAGATGGCATAGCTTTCTTTTCCACTACATTCCATTTTTATTATTTTTCTCTATCCTTTGATATTTTTCTGGAGTTTTTATTAAGCGAACAGATCGAGTGTTCTAGAAGAAGTGCATATCATGACATAGATTAATACAAAAGAAAATCAGAAGGATGAAGAGTGAAAATCAGTTTGCACATTTAATGCTTTCTCCTTTTTCTCTTAAATAGATGCATTGAGGACAATGTGAATGGTTGTTTGGGGGGGAAGAATAAATGCATGAGGGTGAATACATGAGATTACATCAGGTGCTATAATGCTTATAACTAAATGATGAAGTTCATCATCTTTCATGGTGCATATAACCCACTCTTAAATTGAGAAAATCTAGTTTGATCTTCTGCTGGATTTATGTTATGAATTCTTATTATTAACTATGAGTAGTAAATTGAATCTTTCTCTTTCTTGATTAGTAGTCAGTCAAAAAGTTTTCAAATTAGTTGATGCTTTTACAAATCATTAATCATGATTAAACTTGAGACAAAAGGATAGAACATGGTAAAGATTACTTTAGAGAAAATAAAATAAAAATCGTAGTAGCACCTTAGCTGATTTCGTGGGGGGTCCACATGTGAAATTAGGATCAACAAGGCTTGTAAAATACTTCTTGCAACGATTTTTCTAGCTTTTACAGATCTTAATTTGACTAATTAAATCATCTATAATCACTTATGTAAAAATCACTAGGCAGAACTCTATTTCTGCCTAGTTTGCATTCATTAGGTGCTGACATCATTTTGACATCTACACATTTATTTCCCTTTTTCAGAAATTTGAAATATATTTTCTTTTATTTTTTAATTTAAAATTCATAAAAAATCGTATTCTTTGAGAACATTTCTAAAATATTACCTGACATTATATTACATCCATGTGATTCACCTAGAAAATTTCTACTATTTTTAGACCTTTCATTAAACTATAATTGATATAATTATTCAAAAATACTTTTAAATATCTAAAAATTAGTGTTTTCTAGTTTTATAAATTTTAAATTTCTATGGTTTACTAAACAAGGGATATTAAAATTATTAAACTTTTCAGAGGCTGTGACCCCAAGTTTAGTCCCACATTCATTATATGCCGAGTTCTGAGGTTGATATATAGTAATACTAGACTCTATAATAAATGTGTCCTTTTCTCACGTGTACGGCCACTCTTTATCACATGCCCGACTGGCCATTGATGATGTGGAAGGCGAGTGACACACATGTGCCCCCTATTAGTCCATCTTTAGCCGCTCAAGCCCTTACTCACGATTCCACCTGTCTATGCTTCCAAACTGCTTGTGGGCTTGACTAGGTGACAAGTTTCCTCTTTCTTCTATCTTTTTATTTTATTTCTCTTCATTTACCTCAAAAATAAGATTATTAAAATTATATAAATTCACATAAAATTCCATAATTAGCAAAATTAACCAACTAAAAACTATTTTTCATAATTTGACATAAATATAAGTCTATTTATCATGAGTTTAGATTAAAACTATATTATTAATTAATTATTAACTCATGATAATGAAAACTTATCAACCATCTTCACTTAAGTATGTATTTTTTGATTAACATCAAACTTATCCAATGATTATATCATCGTATTTGTCTAAGGATCAAGAGAATAGATTACTTGATGTACTTAGGACATAGAGAGAGGTGATTGGTTTGTCTCTAGCAGATATTTGAGAACTTGATCTATTTGTATGTATGCACATATTTTATTGTGAGGAGAACTATCATTTCTTTTTATGCATTTCCTTACTAGCTTTTGTTTTGGACATATTTTATTGGTCGAGTGCTTTAGTTAGAACTATTCAAGGACAATAGTGTAGTAGATGGGGCATAAAAATCAGAATTTTCTTCTCTTTTCCCTTCTCTCACATGCATTAAGGACAATGCAAGACTCAAGTAGAGGGGAGGTGACGTGACTTAGTCGTTGTATATTAAATCATGCAAAGATAAAATTTATAAAACTAGAAAATACAAATTTTCGAATATTTAGAAGTATTTCAAAATAAATATATCAATTATAATTCAATAAAACTTCTTAAATAACGATAATTTTCCACGTCGAGCACAAGGATGTAATATAATATCTCGTAATTATTCAGAATTGTTCTCAATGAATATGATTTTCTATGAATTTTATACTAGGAAATGAAAAGAAAATATATTTAAAATTCACAAAAAAAAGGGAAATAAGGGTGTGGATGTCGGGATGATGTCAGCACCCGACGAACGTGAATTAGGCAAAAATAGAGTTCCACCTGATGATTCTTACGTAAGCAATTATAGATGATTTAATTAATCAAATGAAGATTTGTAAAAGCTCGAAGAATCATAATTGAACAAAGTATATTTTGATAACTTAAAAATACAAAAATTATCACTAAATGAAGCGTAAAGTAAATTGAAAGTAGGAAAATAGAGTTTTGGCGTCGCGACAGCGATGTGTCGGTAATGCACCAGAATCCTGAGTGTTTGGGAGGATCGTCATGCAGTGTCTACAGCCTTGAAGGCTCTCCTTGGACAAAGACAACGTGGGCAATCTCTAGATTTTCTCGTGAAGTCTAGAGATTAATGAAATGGGTCATTGAGTCGTCTCTAGTGGCTGTCACTCGACGGAGTGGAAAAACGGTAACTTTGCAGCTATCCAGCGGGTGTCACCCGACAGAGAGGAGCTGGATGGAGGTGGGGCACGTGTCATGGAGCTTTATCCTCAGGTCCATGCAGCAAGAAGAGGCTCTTCATTGCATCTGGTACACTCTCAGGAGGTGGCGACTCGTCTCTCGACAGATCGCCCTCTTCCCGACGACGGCTTGTTTGTTGATTAATCGGAGATGATATACTTGATGGAGTCACGATCCTTTTATTACGAATCCTTCAGCAATTTTAGTAGCAATGCTCCGCGAATTGCATTGATGAGATTTTTGCCGATGATCTAATGATTCTCGTTACTTAATCCTTCACCGGCGATCTACAGAAAAGTCACAATAATCAGATAAAAATATATGACTTTTGACTCTAGAAGAACTCGAACCTATGCCGGTCGCCCGCCTCTTCTGAGGAAGGTGTGACACGGGTTTAGTCCCACATCAGCTGTGTGCTAATTTTTTAAGCGAATATATAGTAATGTTAGCTTTCTAAGCAAAGTCCCTTCTCTCGTGTGTACGACCACTCCTTGCCCCACAGCCGGCTGGCCACTAGTGATGTGGAAGGGGAGTGGCACACACATGTCCCCATCGGTTCAAGTCGTTCGAGCCCCTGCTCGTGGCTGCTCCCCGACTATGCTTCTAACCTGCTTGTGGGCCCAGCTGGCCAGTAGGTCCCACCATTTTGTAATATTTTTATTTTTATTTCTTGTTCTTCATTTATCTCAAAAGTAAGACTGTAAAAATAGTATAAAATCACATAATTACCCAAAAATTCACGTTAATCAACTGAAAACCACTTTTCACACTTTAACACAAATATAAGTTTATTTATCATGAGTTAAGGCTAAATCTATGTTATTTACTAATTATTAACTCATGATAATGAAGACTTGTCACACCCCCAACTTAAATCATTGCTAGTCCCTTAGCAATGGAATTACGAAAATAAAATTTTACAAATCTCAAATATCATATTTCAATAGAAGAAAAAAAAAATACAATTAGAAATGATGCACCTTTAAATACTTTGGATTCTTATATCAAGTATTTAAGAATGATATCAAGCACTTAAATATTTAAACACTATTTGGAATAACAATCTAGACTTCACTTCTTCTATTCACATCTTTATCACTTCTTCACTCATAGATATATTTACAAGATGTTTCAATTATCAATACTCATTCAAGAATAATATTGATCCTACATATTCCTCAAAAGAGGCTTGATCTCTCAAATTTTCACTTAAATTCTCATAAAGACCGTAAATCTCATCAGGGGTTTTCTTCATAAAAGCTCTTACACATATAGAATCAACCATATTTCTATGTTGTTCTAATAATCCATCATAAAAAATTCTATTGAGCTGCCACTTGGGTATAGCATGATGAGGACACTTTCTAAGTAAATCTTTGAATGTTTCCCATGTTTCATGTAAAGTTTCTCCTGATCTTTGAGGAAAACTCCATATATGTTTTCTCATATTTTGAGTTTTTCTTAAGGAATAAAGTTTTTGAAGAAAAGCCTATTCATCTTAATAATTTATGGTGTAACTTGAGGGAGATTAACTAAATCACAGACCATATGAAATTTTTCTAAGTGCTGATGAGGTTTCTCTAAAGGCAATCCATGAAAATTAGGGAGCATTTGAAAAATTCCTAGATTTATTTCGAATTTAAAAGTGGGTGCTAATGGGACTCTAATATTTGATGCTCTTTGAAATGAATCAAGGGTATAATGATTTTTCATGACCATAGGATTGTTCTCAATTTGACCTGTACTTCCTTCAGGATCTATCAAAATTAATTTTTCTTTTCGATTTTTATTTTTGAATGAAATAATAGAAGGATTTTCTAGTCTTGGATGCAAGGATCTTCTACCATGCATAAAAAAATCAATAAATTCGAGGGAAAAGTTTAGTAATTGTTACCCTCCTTTAGTATGCTCTGGTCCTTGCTTTGTTTCTCTTCGTTCCCTTTTTTTTAAAAAAAATTAGCAAAAGGAAAATAAAATAAGAGTTAAATTTTTTTGTGTACTCTAAGAGAAAAATAGAAAAATACTAAATATTATGCAATACATCCCTAGCAATGGTGTCAAAATTTGACGTGACTTAGTCATCGTATTGTAAATCATGTAAATTTAAAATTTATAAAACTAGAAAATATGAATTTTCAGATATTTAGAAGTATTTTTGAATAAATATATCAAGTATAATTTAATAAAACTTCCTAAAATAGTGTAATTTTCTAGGTCGATCAAAGGAATGTAATATAATATCTGGTAATTATTCAAAATTGACCTCAAAGAATACTATTTTCTATAAATTTTATACTAGTAAATGAAAAGGAAATATATTTAAAATTCACAAAAAAAAGAAATAGGGGTGTAGACGTCAAGATGATATCAGCGCTTGAGGAATGCAAATCGAGCAAAAATAAAGTTCTGCTCGGTGATTCTTTACATAAGCGATTACAGACAATTTAATTGATCAAGTTAAGATTTGGAAAAGCTGGAAAAATTGTAATGAAATGAAGTATATCTTTGTAAATTTAAAATCAATAAATTATCACTAAATGAAAGGAAAATTAAGTTGAAAGCAGGAAAACAGAGTTCCGACATCACAACGGTGATGCATCAGTGATGCACTAGAATCTTGAGCATTTTGGAAGATCTTTGTGGAGTGTCCATGGCCTTGAAGGCTCTCCTTGGACAAAGACGACGTGGGCAATCTCTAGATCTCCTTGCAAAGTCTAGAGATCAATAAAATGGCTTGTCGAATCGTCTCTAGTGGTTGCCACCTGGCAGAGCAAAAAAACAGCAACTTTGCAGCTCTCTAGTGGCTGTCACCCGACAGAGAGGAGCTTGATGGAGGTGGGGCGCATGTCAAGAAGCTTCATCCTTAGATCCGCACAACAAGAGGAGACTCTTCATCGCATTTGGTATGCTCTTAGGAGGTGGCGACTTGTCTCCCAACAGATTGTCCTCTTCCCGACAATAACTTGTTCGTCGATCAATCAAAGATGAGTTACTCGATAGATTCATGATCTTATTATCGTGAATCGTTCAGCAATTTTAGTAACAATACTCTGCGAATTGCGTTGATGAGATTTTTGCCAATGATCTAGTGATTTTAGTTGCTTAATCCTTCATCGGTTATCTGTAGGAAAGTCACGATAAACAAATAAACAAAATATGAATTTTGGCTTTGGGAGGATTCAAACTTGCGCTGATTGCCCCCTCGCCCTTTCTAGGGAGGTGTGACGGGGGTTAAAAAAGTTCCACATCAATTGTGTGCCAAAATTTCTTGTGAATATATAGTAATACTATATTTTCGATCAAGTCCTTTTCTTGCACGTGTATGACCACTCCTTGCCTCACAATCGGCTGGCCACCGGTGACGTGGAAGGGGGGTGGCGCACATGTGCCCAATTGGTCTAAGCCGCTCGAGCCCCTACTCACGGCTACTCCCCAACTGCACTTCTGACTTACTTGCGGGCCTGGGGGGTTCCCCCACTTTGTCTTATTTTTATTTTAATTTCTTTTTCTTTATTTATCTCAAAAGTAAGACTATAAAAATCATATAAAATTATATAAAATCACATAATTACCTAACAATTCATGTTAATCAACTAAAAATAAATTTTCACACTTTAACACAAATATAAGTCTATTTATCATGAGTTAAGATTAAAACCATATTATTTACTAATTATTAACTCATGATAATGAAGACTTATCAATTATCAAGTCTAGTATTACTATATATCAACCTCAAAACTCAGCATATAACCAATGTGGGACTAAACCAAGGGTCATAGCCTCCAAAAAGTTTTAATAGTTTTAATACCTAAAATATCCCTTGTTTAGTAAACCACACAAATCTTAAATTTATAAAACTAGAAAATACTAATTTTTAGATATTTAGAAGTATTTTTGAATAATTATATTAATTATATTTTAATGAAAGTTCTAAAAATTGTGAAAATTTTCTAGGTCAATCATAGGAATCTAATATAATATCAAGTAATATTTCATAAATGTTCTCAAAGAATACGATTTTTTATGAATTTTAAACTAGAAAAAGAAAATAAAATATATTTAAAATTTGTGAAAGAAGGAAATAAAGGTGTAGATGTCAAGATGATGTCAGCACCTAATGAATGCGAACCGAGTAGAAATAGAGTTCTACCTGGTGATTTTTACATAAGCGATTATAGACGATTTAGTTAGCCAAATTAAGATCTGTAAAAGCTAGAAGAATCATTACAAGAAGTATTTTGTAAGCCTTGTTGATCCTAATTTCACATGTGGAAGCCCCACGAAATCAGCTAAGGTGCTACTACAATTTTATTTTATTTTTTCTAGTGTAATCTTTACCATGTTTTATTCTTTTGTCTCAAGTTTAATGATGATTAATGATTTGTAAAAGTATCAAATAATTTAAATTTTTTTTGACCGAGTATTGATCAAGAAAGAGAAAGATTCAATTTACTACTCATAGTTAATAATAAGAATTCATAACATAAATTCGGCAGAAGACCAAAGTAGATTTTCTCAATTTAAGAGTGTGGGTTATATGCACCATGAAAGATGATGAACTTCATGATTTAGTTATAAGCACTATAGCACCTGATGTAATCTCATGTATTCACCCTCATGCATTTATTCTTCCCCCCCAAATGACCATTTGCATTGTCCTCAATATATCTATATAAGAGAAAAAGGAGAAAGCATTAAATGTGCAAATTGATTTTCACCCTTCATCCTTCTGATTTTCTTTTGTATTAATCTGTGTCATGATATGCAATTCCTCTAGAACACTTGATATGTTCGCTTAATAAAAACTTAAGAAAAATATCAAAGGATAGAGAAAAATAAGAAAAATGGAATGTAGTGGAAAAGAAAGCTATGCCATCTTAGAGTACATCATGGAGGGAAAGTTCTAAGAAGATTGAGGTTCAATGGATGGATCATATAATTGAGTGGAAATGGGTAAAGAAGGAGGGTTCATTTTCTAAATAAGGTTTTAATCTTTGCCCATTCACATTAAAATTTTTACTAGTTTTCAGATCTACAATTAATATTGCACCATAGTCAAAAACTTTAATCACAAGGTATGGTCCATCCCATCTAGATTTTAATTTCTCGAGGAATAGTTTCAATCGAGAATTGTAAAGCCAAACTTTTTGATGCTCATGAAAACTCTTTCTGCTCTCCTTCTTGTTATAAAAAGCCTTCATTTTTACTTTGTAAATTAGAGACTTCTCGTACATCTCATTGGGTACTTCTTGAAGCTCTTGCAATTGTAACATACGATGCTTACCTATGGCGTCTAAAGAAAGATTAAGATTCTTTATAACTTAATAAGCCTTATGTTTGATCTCCATAGGAAGGTGAAAAACCTTTTGACGTGACTTAGTCGTTGTATTGTAAATCACGTAAATTTAAAAATTATAAAACTAGAAAATACTAACTTTTAGATATTTAAAAGTATTTCTGAACAAATATATCAATTATAATTCAATTAAGTTTACAAAAATAGTGGTAATTTTTTAAGTCGATCACAGAGATGTAATATAATATTGGGTAACTTTTTAGTATTTTTCTCAAAGAATATAATTTTTTTATGAATTTTATACTAAGAAATGAAAATAAAATATACTTCAATTCGTGAAAAAAGGAAATAAGGGTGCGGATGTTAGGATGACATCAATGCTTGACAAACGTGAATCAAACAGGAACAAAGTTCTACCTAGTGATTCTTGTGTAAGCGATTACAAATGATCTAATTGATCAAATTAAGATCTGTAAAAGGTAGAAAAGTCATAATTGAATCAAATATAGCTTGGTAAATTTAAATCACACAAAGTATCACTAAATGAAGTAAAAATTAAGTTGAAAGTATCTCTAGATATCTATGCGAACTCTAGAGATCAATGAAATATATCATCAAATTATCTCTGGCAACTATCACTTAGCAGAGCGAAAAAATGAGGACTTTGTGACTCTCTAGCGGCTGTCACTTGATGGAGAGGAGCTAGATGGAGGTGGGACGCATGTTAAGGAGCTTCATCCTCAGGTCTATGCAGCAAGAGGAGACTCTTCATCGCATCTAGTATGCTCTCAGGAGGTGGTGACTCATCTCACGACAAATTGTCCTCTTCTCGACGACGGCTTGTTCATCAATCACTTAGAGATGATTTACTCAATAGATTCATGATCCTTTTATCGCGAATCATTTTCAGCAATTTTAGTAACAATGCTTTGTGAATTGCGTTGACAAGATTTTTGTCAATGATCTGGGAAGGTGTGATGTGGGTTTAGTCCCACATCACTTGTGCGCCAATGTTTTAAGCAAATATATAGTAATATCACATTTACAAGTAATGAGTACTTTTCTCTCACATGTACAACCACTCCTTACCTAAGACTTGGCTGGCCACTAGTGACGTGGAAGGGGAGTGGTGCACACATGCCTCCATTAGTCCTAGTCACCCAAGCCCTTGCTCGTGGCTCCCCTCGACTACACTTCTAACCTACTTACAGGCCTAGTTGGTTGACAGGTCCCCTCTTTTTGCTATATTTTTATTTTAATTTCTTTTTCTTGATTTATCTCAAAAAATAGGATTATAAAAATCATATAAATGCATAAAAAAATTATCTAATTAGCTAAAAAAATTACATTAATCAATTGAAAACTATTTTACATAATTTAATAGAAATATAAGTCTATTTATCGAGAGTTATTTACTCATTATTAACTTATGATAATAAAAACTTATTAGTGGTTTCCTATTATGACAAAAAGAGGCATTATACTAACAAATAATAAAGGCGAAAATATTCTACTTGAAAATATTATGAATTTACTTGAAAATATTGTACGTGTACTCTTAAAAAGGCAAAAATCTCATTTTATATGTGTAAAACTATATACAAATTTATATACAGTATAGATTTGGCTCAAAAACATTTAATAGGGGTCGCATATAGAATTATGTAACTCTTAATTACAATTGTACATTAGACTACAGTCAAAATAGATAATAGATAATAATTTTTTTCAATAAATAGTTTCCATGATTAATTCATCATCCTCATAAATGTGATGGTCGGCACACTTGTTAATACAATAACTTTCCTACTTGTACTAAAAGTCCTACTTTAGACAAGAAATTTATTTTCCACTCATCAATGGAATGAATCAAGATTTGACGATGGGTACATTTTGCTTCAAGTTTAGGAAAACATCTAGAGGGTGCAATGTATAAAAAGTATATACGATGACATTCACCCATGTGAATCATATAAGATTTAACTTTGTCAAGATATGCTTTTCAAATTGAAAACATTACAAAGCATAGCTATGTGACTTTTATTTCAAACTCCTCTTTATCTACCCAATCTTGTATGAATCTAGATGCTTCTTAATTTTTAGATCATCACTAAAGAAATCATACTTTTACTATGATGGGAACCAATTACGACATTACATTACTTTTAGTTTTGGACTACATGTGGTTCTAAACACATTATGGGGTGGATGTGTGTCCTTTGGTGGACACATAAGCTTCCAATACATAATTCTTATTTCTTCATAACTTTACATATTCTAATAAATAATATTTAATCATAGTGATTAGTAATTATAAATATAACCTAAACTATCAAATTCGTGCCATTTAATCCAATACTTGTAATGTTCATTTATTTATTGATAAAATTTTCATTTTGGTAAACTATAGTAATTATTCATTGCAACTAATCATTATGATTGTATGAAATAATATTAGATTTCTTCCCTTTAATACTGTATTTTTATGTGCCAGCTTTCTTATAAAAAAGTAATATTCATTATTTATGCATAAAATTTACATTTATCGGTCTAATAGTTATTTCTGATAATTTGTAAGTGTAAATGTACTTAAACATATTATATTCCTGTACTCAATAGGTTACGTCCAAAATGGTGCCATTTCCAAGGTGAATAGATAGTAGGTACAAAACATTTCTAAAGTTTAAATGTTGGCAATAAATGATACATATTCCTAGCAAGAGTAACTGTGATATTATACTACTTATACTCACGCCCTCTAAATGGTTGTCTTGTATTATTATCATTGATTGATATAGTTTCTGTTTTTGCATAAATATTAATTACACACCTTTATCAATAGCTATGATTACATTAAAAAAGTATTATATTCATGCCCTTAATATGAGGCTTTTAAACTATCATTTTCTTTATGAATAAATAAGAACAATAATAATAAATAATTTAGTCATGAGATTTATGTTTTCTCAATTGGCACTTTACAGATTTTATTTATATTCTTACATGTACATGGTCATGGTCTGTCATCAATCAAACATTTTATCCGTTTCTTTCTATGACACATATCTTCTTCATGATTTACCTGCAATCTTCCACGTTTTTGGTGAACCTGTTGGAAACATGGTCAGCCTATTTAACAACAGATGATAGAGCCATGAAAAAGAGATAAAACCATCTGACATAAAATAAAAATATGCGAGGTAATTTCAGTGATGTCATGTTTGCAACCACCTTCAAAATTGCATCAATCCGAATGGTCTTTAACAGGGTGCAGGGGGGGCATATCAAGCTTCCAAAAAGAGAAATGAGCTTCGAGTAGGTGGGCTGCTCAACAAATTGTATCTTCTTCACTGCTTCAAGGAATTGTGCAAAAGGAGGGGGACAGCCACCACACAGCGTCTCGGGGGAGGTTACAGTCTTGTTCATGAAGACTAGAAACCTCTTGTCATTCCCCTACATAGTTGGCATAAGAATCAGCAAGTGATCAATCAAAGAGATGGGAGAACATGTACAAGTAGAGGTCAAAGCAAACCTGATAGCCTTCCCACGGCAGCCTTCCTTTAATCAAAAAAATCAGAGTGTAGGCCAATGAGTCAAGATCATCTCTTCTACTCGCTGTGAGGCCTAAATGTGCATGGACGCTTGCATATCGTGTTGTGCCCCTAGGGAACATGAGATAGATAGTAAGGTAGGGGTAAGATTTTATGAATCCTCCTCTTAGCTAAGAATTTAGGGAAAAAATAGAATATCGTTTCCCAAAAAACCTGAAATTATCTGGCTGTTGGCATAAGCTGACATGCTGGCCTGACAAACTGTCCCTCCACATTGAAGCTGATTAAAATATTAATGACACCAATTAGCATTTGTACAGGCTCTGAACAAAGCACAAAAATATCACTGATGTTGATACAGACAGGGACTTGTCAGTCAAGACGAATTTGTTTATATACTTGGAAAAACAAACCCTACTCTAAAATCAATAGGTGCGAAAGGTGAAAACAAGAAGTGATTGGAATGCAGCAACATACCCAGCCCAAAGTCGATGAGAAAAAGCTTCTTCTCCCCTGAGCTTCTGGGTTTACCCAACAATAAATTCTCTGGCTTGACGTCTCCATGCACAAACCTGGCATGTTTTTTTTTTTGTGTGGGTGGAGGGAGGGAGGGGAGTGCACAAGGGAGCAATGAATTGATTACTGTGACCTTTGCAAAAATTTAATTAAAAAAATATCACACTGCCACAAAGCCATACGTACCCTTTTTGGTGTAGCTTCTCAAGGATGGATATTGCCTCCACAGCAATACAAGCCACCATATTTGGTGGCATTCTGTCCAAGGAGTTAGTCAAACTCAATAGCACAATTCTCAACAAATATTGACTTTGAATATGAAGTCAAGATTATTTTCTTACACTTGCCCAATGGATATGAACACATCCAGGAGACTTGGTCCAAGGATGTCCATGATCTGCAGCAATCATCATCAACAATATCATAATTAGCTTTCAATAAAAAACATAATTCGAGGAAACAATAAAATGAAAAACTCTACGCCAACCATGACGAAATAATCTCCTTGGCGGCCCTTGTAGTGCACCCTAGGCAATCCATAGCATCCCTTGAGATGGCTAAAACCATATTCACAAAGTCAGATGAAGAACGTAGTTTTAGATCGACACAATACGTAATAAATTAGAGCAGTAGGGGGTGTCTTCTTACTCATAAACTTGCCATTCATATGGGGGGCCAAATCTGCAACCCGTGCTATTTCTATGCTCAAACTTCAGTGCTACCTACACCCACCGCAGGAAAATGAAAGAGACAACATAAAACAGCAGTATTTAAAGATTCCCTTGGCAGGAGTGATGGGAGGTTGAAACTAAACCTTAAAGGCATTGGGCCCATTGCCCTGAGATCCACCAGCCACCCTTCGTCCAATGTAGACCAGCCCAAAACCTCCTGCACCCAACATTCTCTCTACCTTGTATAATGGAGAATTTCCGACCTGCACCTGTCGATTTTGGATAGGACATTCCTATTGTCAAGATGTGATGTGCTTTGGGATGGAGAGAGAAAGCTCTCTACAGTCGCCGTCAAGGAAAGGAATGAGGGACGTCGAAGCATGTACCCGATCCGGGATGGGAGACATCCTCGCTTCCTCCTGTAGCCCGACAACCTCGTCCACACTTCCTCCCTCGATTCCAGCTGCTTTCTCAACAGGACAGCCCGCCACCAAGTTCTGATGGTTTTTCTGGGTGGGGAATAACGCTCGGGAGAGCTGCAGGTACGGAGGGTGTTGTTTCCTGCCGGAAATCACCGGGTTCTTCTCCAGAAACTGGTCGATCGCTCAGCGATCTGAAAATCGAATGTGCCCCTTGATTCAACACGCTCACCCGTCACCGTCAATCGATAAACCTTGCTGAAATAATCTTTTCTCCTCCAGACGGTAACACTCATCCGTCCCCAAAGAGCAATCGGATGGAAGTCTAAAGAAGAAGATAGATCCCCCTACCCAGACCAAACATCAAATCGAATCAGCAACGAAGCGGCAAAACAAATCGGAAGAAGGTAAATAAATAAGAGGAAGGAGGAAAGCCAGAGCTTTCTTCAGCAATCTCGCACCACCCCCACCACCGCAGGCAACCGAAAGTCCAAATCAAAGAAAATAAAGATCCCATCCAAAGAGTCCATAAGAAGATGCCCCCGACACAGAAAATCACGAACCCATCGAAAGACGGCACTAGAACATAACCCCCGAATCAACGAAAGGCCAGAATTCGTCGAAAGACGGCACTAGAACATAACCCCCGAATCAACGAAAGGCCAGAATTCGTCGAAAGACGGCACTAGAACATACCCGGAGCGGCCTTTCAGGGAAGCAGAAGCCTGGGAACGTACGACCTCTCCGTGAGGCGGCGCCGACCGTGACCTCGGCGTCTTCGGCGGTGGACTCCTCCGCCGGATGCGGCCTCCCACTCTTCCTCCGGATTCGCGCACGAGAAAGGGATCCAGAAGAACTCGACGGAGAGGAGAGGAGAAGGCGGCCGGCTGTCCGAACTCCGCCGTGCTTCGTAGAGCGAGGACGCATCCACAGAAAGAAAGCGAGAGCAAGATAGAGTGAGAGAGAGCAGACAGACAAAGGGAGCGAGAAAAGGCGCGAAAGAAAGAGAGATCAATGACAGCCTTACTCTATCACCCGCTCTTCTTTCACGTTCTGCCATTAGGTACGGATCTCCAATTACGTTTCTCTCTGGGGTCTGATGTAAATTGTGCCAATTTCTGTTCACGATGTCCACTGAAATGTCGTCGAACCCGTGTGGGCCACGTGTCCCACATCTGCTTAAGTGTCATGCTAACTCGTCGGTTCTGCTTCCACTGTCGACCTGTTGATGGTTTAACTTTTAGCCTCTGAATATTCCGGCCCATTGGGTCACTTGGCTCGGCCCAGCCCAACTCATTCTGATTTTCTTTTATTTTAGACCTTTATATCAAAACCTCTTAGAAATTATGAGAAATTCTAGAAAATTTCAGAAAATCCAGGATAAAATTTAGAAAATCCTAAAACTCACATAAAAAATATTTCATGCATAATTATTTAAAATTAATTATCTTAAAATAATTTTAAAAATATTAAAATACATATTTATGTATGAATGATCTGAATGCATACGAATTAAATGTAACATGTATTATTTCCGTTAATTTTATGCACTAAATATTGATAAATATAAGGTAAATACAGATAATGAAAACTTATCAACCACAACATAATAACTAGACTAAGATGATCTAGTTCAATCGTTTTCATCCACAATATACTATCATTAGCTGTTTATTGTCACACCACATACCCATGAATACAACCTAAAACTCCTTCATACTTCAAAGAATAATGATCATGGTAAAGAATTCACCTATCTTTTTTTCATGAGATCCACACCCCTAATCTAGAGAAGGTAAACTTTTCTAATTGACTTACCCTTTTAAAGGAGCATTAGGCTTTGTTCATTTAAGCATACGTGTTTGTGCAAATAATCAATGCAGCAAAAGTTTTAAAATATTCAGAACATTTTTGAATTTTTTTGTTCTCCCCCCTACTTGAATGATGCATTATCTCTAATGCTTGCAAAAGTCTTTAATGCATGTGAGAGAAGGGAAAAGGGAAGAAAATTCTGGTTTTTATGCCCCATCTACTACACTATTGCCCTTGAATGGTTCTCTAACTAAAGCACTCGACCAATAAAATATGTCCTAAACAAAAGCTAGTAAGGAAATGATAGTTCTCCTCATGATAAAATATGTGCATACACACAAATAGATCAAGTCCTCAAATATTTGCTAGAGACCAACCAATCACCTCTCTCTATGTCCTAAGTACATCAAGCAAAAGTTTTAAAATATTCATAACATTTTTGAATTTTTTTGTTCTCCTCCCTACTTGAATGATGCATTATCTCTAATGCATGCAAATGAAGGAAGAGATAACCTCCCCCCTACTTGAGTCTTGCATTGTCCTTAATGCATGTGAGAGAAGGGAAAAGAGAAGAAAATTCTGATTTTTATGCCCCATCTACTATACTATTGCTCCTGAATAGTTCTAGCTAAAGCACTCGACCAATAATATATGTCCTAAACAAAAGCTAGTAAGGAAATGCATAAAAAGAAATGATAGTTCTCCTCACAATAAAATATGTGCATACACACAAATAGATCAAGTCCTCAAATATCTGCTAGAGACCAGCCAATCACCTCTCTCTATGTCCTAAGTACATCAAGTAATCTATTCTCTTGATCCTTAGACAAATACGATGATATAATCATTGGATAAGTTTGATGTTAATCAAAAAATACATGCTTTAGTGAAGATGGTTGATAAGCTTTCATTATCATGAGTTAATAATTAATTAATAATATAGTTTTAATCTAAACTCATGATAAATAGATTTATATTTATGCCAAATTCTGAAAAATAGTTTTTAGCTGGTTAATTTTGCTAATTATGAAATTTTATGTGAATTTATATAATTTTAATAATCTTATTTTTGAGGTAAATGAAGAGAAATAAAATAAAAAGATAAAAGAAAGAGAAAACTTGTCACCTAGTCAAGCCTAGAAGTAGGTTGGAAGCATAGATAGGCGGAATCGTGAGTAAGGGCTTGAGCAGCTAAAGACAGACTAATAGGGGACACATGTGTGTCACTCCCCTTCTACATCATCAATGGCTAGTCGGGCATGCGATAAAGAGTGGCGGTACAGATGTGAGAAAGGGACACATTGATTATCAAGTCTAGTATTACTATATATCAACTTCAGAACTCAGCATATAATCAATGTGGGACTAAACTTAGGGTCACAGCCTCCGAAAAGTTTAACAATTTTAATATCCTTTGTTTAGTAAACCATAGAAATTTAAAATTTATAAAACTAGAAAATATTAATTTTTAGATATTTAGAAATATTTTTGAATAATTATATCAATTATAGTTTAATGAAAGTTCTAAAAATAGTAGAAATTTTTTAGGTCAATCACAAGGATGTAATATAATGTCAGGTAATATTTCAGAAATGTTCTCAAAGAATAGGATTTTTTATGAATTTTAAATTAAAAAAGAAAAGAAAATATATTTCAAAGTTGTGAAAAAGGGAAATAAATGTGTAGATGTCAAGATGATGTCAGCACCTAATGAATGCAAATCGGACAGAAATAGAGTTCTACCTGGTGATTTTTACATAAACGATTATAGATGATTTAATTAGTCAAATTAAGATGCCAAGTTTCTAGTTTTATAAATTTAAAATTTGTGTGGTTTACTAAACAAGGGATATTTTAAATATTAAATTATTAAAACTTTTCAGAGGCTATGACCCCAAGTTTAGTCCCACATTAGTTATATGTCAAGTTTTGAGGTTGATATATAGTAATACTAGATTTGATAATTTATAAGTCTTCATTATCATGAGTTAATAATTAGTAAATAATATGGTTTTAGCCTGAACTCATGATAAATAGACTTATATTTGTGTTAAAGTGTGAAAAGTTGTTTTTAGTTGATTAACGTAAATTGTTGGGTAATTATGTGATTTTATACAATTTTATATGATTTTTATAGTCTTACTTTTGAGATAAATGAAGAAAAATAAATTAAAATAAAAATAAGACAAAATGGGGGAACCCCTCAGGTCTGCAAGCAAGTCGGAAGCACAGTTGGGGAGTAGTCATGAGCAGGGGCTCGAGCGGCTTAAACCGATTGGGCACATGTGCGCCACCCCCTTCCACATCACCAGTGGCTAGTTGACTGTGGGGCAAGGAGTGGTTGTACATGTGCGAGAAAAAGACTTGATCAAAAATGTAGTATTATTATATATTCACAAGAAATTTTGGCGCACAATCGATGTAAAACTTTTTTAACCCCCGTCACACCTCCCCAGAAAAGGCGGGGGGGCAATCGGCGCAAGTTCGAATCCTCCTAAAGCTAAAATTCATATTTTGTTTATCTATTTATTATGACTTTCTTATAGATCACGGATGAAGGATTAAGTAACCAGAATCACTAAATCATCGACGAAAATCTCGTCAATGCATTTCGCAGAGCATTGTTACTAAAATTACTAAACAATTCATGATAAAAAGATCGTGAATCTATTGAGTAACTCATCTCCGATTGATTGACAAACAAGTTATTGTCGGGAAGAGGACAATCTGTTGGGAGACGAGTTACCACCTCCTGAGAGCATACTAGATGCGATGAAGAGCCTCCTCTTGCTGTGTGGATCTGAGGACGAAGCTTCCTAACATGCACCCCACCTCCATCTAGCTCCTCTCCGTCGAGTGACAGTCGTTGGAGAGCCACAAAGTTGCCATTTTTCTACTCCGCCAGGTGGCAGCCACCAGAGATGATTCGATAAGCCATTTCATTGATCTCTAGACTTCACAAGGAGATCTAGAGATTACCCACGTCATCTTTGTCCAAAGAGAGCCTTCAAGGCCATGGACACTGCATGACGATCTTCTCGAATGCTCAAGATTCCGGTGCATCATTGACACATCACCATCGCGATGTTGGAACTCTATTTTCCTACTTTCAACTTAATTTTCCTTTCATTTAGTGATAATTTATTAATTTTAAATTTACAAAGATATACTTCATT